GTGAAGCTGAGGGCTCCCTGAGGGGACAGGTCTTTGCTGCCTTTTCTAGTGGTGGTGCCCAGCTACACACAGAGCACAGCCTCTGCAGCAAAGTTTTCAAGAAACTCTTACTTGGCATCCTTTTCAGTCTTGTTTTTGAGACTGTCACCTCTTGCCACACATCAGGCTCTGTGGGCGTAGAGGGGATGGGTGTGTGTGGGTGTGGACAAGCTTTAGTATTGTTTTCCCTGACAGGCACTGGCTTTACCCACAGTCACCAAGGCAACACCCCAGAGGTTTTGGAGGTGGGTCCTTTGGAGGTGGGTCCGGAGCTTGATTGGTCAGGCCAGGAAGGCCCCACCCAGACATCTGAGGTCTGTCCAGCTGCTAGCTTGCCAAGTAAACAATTTATTTGACTGCCTGGAGTTGCTAGCCTCACACTTTATGAGAGAGACCAGGGTCTCTGGCTTCCCAGGCATGAAAATTGGCCCCAGCTCAGAGGCCTTATTTCAGAGGATGTTCTCCAGGTGCCTAAAGGGCAAGGCTAGGCTGTCTTTAGCAAGATGTATGGTACAGAGGGACACAGAGGCAGGGTCCAATCAAAACCCAGAGGAAGTGCCCCAGGGTGAACGCTGCAGCTGAAGCCAGCAAGTCTGTGCAGAGGGTTCTCTAGCAAGTGAGGACAAAGGGTATCTCAGATGTGTTTATTGATCCCTGCCCCAGCAGGAAGTGTCCATTCACATGGACCAAGGAGGCTGGGAAGTGGAAGTGGGGGCTCTATAGGAGGAAGCCACACTTCCAGCACCTTGGGAAAGCAGCATGCATCCAGGGATAGAGGCCCTAGCCATTGGGCCTCCTGGGGAGGGTCTGGGCAGTGGGCCAGGGCCCTGGCTCATGGAGGCTTCTCTAGAGGATTCCAACCCAGACTCAAGGCCTCTGTAAGGAGGACTCAACCCCATGGCCACTCCAACCAGGGAGATTTCTTAAGATCTGATTCCATCCACGTAAGGGGCTCACTTGATAGGATTGTTCTAAACATGCAGACACAGACTTGTTTAATTAATTCCCAAGCCTGTGAAATAGGAGCTTGGGTTAAGGAACCAAAACATGAAAGAAATCTGTATACAGTATCACAGAAATAAGTTATGGACAGAATTCAAACCCAGACCTCTGAGGACTTGATGCTGTCTCTAGAAACCAGAGATAACCAGAGACTGGCTCCACCTCCTCCCCACAGATGGACAGCTGACTTAGCCAATAAGAGCTTAGTTTGCCTGGCAGCATTAATAACTCAAGTAGTTTTACTTTTGATTTTACATTAAATAACACTGAATCATAAAGAGAGACGTTTGTTCCCACTTCAGTATTCTCTTAGCCCTGACTATATCAAAGAAAAAGTCATAGTTGATGCCACTATATCTTCAAAATGTCCTTTTTTTTTAATTTTTACTTAATTTATTTCTACAAAGAGACAGCAACAGTCTTTACATGCTGACTCTGGCCCACCCTGAGTTTCCAAGTAACATTTAATTCCCTTATTTAGCTTGCCAGTTGTGTTCTTTTATATGTTCTATTTATGGCCGATGATACTAGCTTTCCACTTGTGACACTGTCTTAAAATTTCCTTAAACTTTTTTACTTTAAAGAAAAGTGTAGATTTAAAAGAAAAACAAGTAGGTAGATTGTTCGGCAGATACTATGTACAGGTGACGAACAAATGAACCCAGAAATGCACCAAGGGGAATTATCCTCCCCAGGGACCAGCAGCCAGCTGCAACTATGTCACTCAGCCTGTTCACTGCTCAGCTGGGGGAAGTGTGTGCTTGGGGCCCCATGGTAAGGGAATAGCTGAGGCTGGACTGGACCAGGGGTCTCCTTGAAAGCTGAGACCCTACATAGAAAGGCCAGTGGGAGAGCTTGGTTAGTAGCTGAACACAGCAAGTTCATTACTCTATGTCCCTTGCTTCACTCTGGAGATGGTCAATAGTAAATAGGCTGAGTATGCAAATGGGATGTGAGAGAAAGCCCACAGATAGGCACACACTAGGCCAGGCTGGCTGTTATGGCCTCATCTCTAGGGGACTTAAGAAGAGAACTACCAGCCACCCCTGTGAACCAGCCTGGGCATTCTTAAGATGTTAGGAGTCTAAGAAATGCATTCCCAGTGATATTTCCCGTGGCTTCCCATGTCCTGGGCATTCATTGGGGCTCTGTTGGCAGTGAAAGCTCAGATGGAAAGCCACTGGTGTGGAGTCACTAGAAACCAGGAGATGACACACTACTGACATCACAAGGAGCACAGCTGTGTCTATGGGAAGATGGATCGCTACCCTGTATTATAGGTGGAGACTTGACCAAAGATGCTAAGAAGCTTGCCCAGCTCATAGAGGGGCAGCTAAGATTCAAACACAGGTCTAACTACAATACGGTTAAGCTAGAGCTGGAGGAAGTCCTGGCATGCAGCTATACCCCAGACCCCTTGTTTAAACATCAGGAAGGTCATAGCCCAGCCAGACCTTCAAAAGGATCCATAGGTATCAGAAGCCAGTGATGATTTCTGGCAAGGCCCTGGGCAACAGTTACCTTTGAACCTATGACCTCACCTCAAGGCTCAGTCAGTACCAACAAGACACATGGGCTCTGAGGACTTTCTGTTTCTTTTGCTTAAACCTAAGATGCTATACAGAAGTGACTCCTGTAGCTTCCATATGGTACCCCTTTCCTAGATCCACAGCAGGAAAGTGCTGCATTGCAGGGCTAGCTCAGTATGGTTAGAGTTTCTGGCCCCTGGGCATCCTATGGCACAGCCATCTTTCGTCTAAGGCTGCTGGGCGGGGCTTATGGATTTCCTAAGAGCTGACCACTACCGGGTCAGAGGCTTGCTGCACCAAGTTGACTCAATAGGGCCTTGCATTCTTGTTTACCATGAAAGGGAAGACAGCTGCCCATCTCTCACACCAGTGCCCCCCTGTGAACTGGGGCTCCTGGGTCAGATTGAGGACAGGCAATGTAGTAACTTCCTCAAAGCTTAGGGATGCTGTGGGGAAGAGGTTCTGCACCCCCTAGGGTCTGCTGGCCCCTGGCTCCCAAGGCAACCCCCCCACCCCCTCTCAGCCCATGACAGGCTAGGACAGGAATGTGTTCCATGTACCCCAAGTGCTTCCTAAGCTCTGACTCCTTGAAGACCTCCAGGCCCCATTTTGCCCTACCACAAATGCCATTCAGCCCAAGGCAACCCAGCACTTCAGCTGTCTGGTGAGTGTTCTCAGCTCCCAGACCTCCTGACCACCTTGTCTGTTATAGGAAAGAAAAAGAAAACTGAATGATCACACCTGTGTCATAGCCAGTGCTGAGGTCAGAGAAGCCCCAGGCTAAAGGGTCCCTTGTTCCTTTCCTGAAATCCACACAGAGTCCTAATTACCACCCTGAGCTGAACATGGAGAGGTAGCCTTCAGCTCACCAAGTAATTTTGAGTAGCCAAAAAGTCATGGCTGTGCAATCTTCTAGCACAGCAGGATGCAGGTTCCCAGCTCCCCTCAAGGCCTCTTTGCTGGTGGGTGTTCCATAAGCTGTGACCCTCTACTCTGAATCCCTAGGACTTAGTTTCTCAAATTGGAGCTGATGAACAAACAACATCCCATTCAACTGAGAGTAGGAAAGGGACAAGAAAAGGAGCTTTGTGGAGTCACTTGAGGGGAAGATGGTAGCCTGTGGTAGATACAGTACTGGCTGGCCTTCCTGCCTGTGGTTGCTCCCTGTCCCTGGAGGAACATTCCCACCTGAACTACCTCCCCACCCCTGCCTCCATCACTCCCTCTGAGTGGTAGGGAGCATCCAGGCCAGGGCTTTCGTTGTTCTGTCTATAGGGTGTGGATGCCTTCTTCCTTATCAAAGGTCCAGGCCTGCCTCCCAGTGCTGATAAGAAGTTCTCTGACTCTCCTCCCTCTCCTTCAGTTAACCTTCTTTCTTTCCTCATCTGCCCATTGACTCCCTCTTCAGAGCCTACCACCTCCATCCTAACACTTCTGAATACCTCCATGACTGGCACTGTCCCTGGACCCTTTCTCTCCCTAGCCTTGCAGAAGCAACTTGTGTCCTGGTTCTCTGAGCAGGGAAGGATCAGACCGACAATCTCCAGGGGACACCCTTGTCTACCCCTTGGCCACCTAGCAGAATATCCCCTTTTTCTTTGAGATCTTCTGCTCTGGGCAAGCAAGGACCAGACTCTGGGGAACTACTGTTGGGACAAGGTACAAATTGTGAGTCTGGATTTTGGAAGTGACACCTCTCTCTGTGTGGGGGGCTTGGGTGTCTGAGCTGAGGAGTTATTCAAGCCCAGGCATGGACTGGACACTGGGCTCGGGGAGTGTCCCATATCTTCCCCAGTACTCCATACTGGCTGCTCAGCTGCAATCTGGCTAAATGGCAAGAACCCACTGATCACTCACATGGGTCATCAGTATAAAGCAGGTGACAAAGCTACCCAGATCTGGGTAGTAACCATCAAAACTCATCCAGGACTATCAAAGGGGATGGAGTATTGGGCCACAGCACACGCGCGCGCGCGCACACACACACACACACACACACACACACACACACACACACACACACACACACACAGAGTCCTCTGAGACTTTGGAGCAGGAAGGCAGGGAGATGCCTCAGGTGTCAAAAGCCAGTCAACAACCACTAAGGACTTCATGTCCCTTTCCTGCCTTGTAGAAGCTCTTCAGCTCTTCATGGCTCCTGTTCCAGGCTCTCTGGGCAGGTAAGTGCCATAAGCAGTCCCCCTTTGCCTGCTGTTTTGGCAGCTGTTAGCCCAGACAGATGCGCTGCCTAGGACGGAGCTACCACTGCACCCTGCTGGGCTGTCCCAGCAACCTCAGAGCAGCGGTAGGGTGGAGGTCACCGCAGACTGAGGAGATTCAAGGCACTCCCATCCTGTCCCGGTCCCCGCACCCTACTGAGCTGTGCTGCCTGGCGCTCTTCCCCTGCGCCGCGCCACCAGCGAACCTTACCTCTGGATGCAGCCAGAAAAAGAGCGAGGAGCAGGGTCCCCCACCGCGGGCCGCTGGCCTCTGGAACCGTGGGGACACCCATGTCGCCGTCGAGCCGAGCAATAGACTAGACGCAAACTGCTCGGCTGCGCGTAGAGCAAGTGGGGCTCCGGGAGCTCAGGGAGCCTGCTGTACACACTGCTGCCCAAGTGAGTGTCTTCAGAGACCGCAGCGCAGCTGGCGACCGAGCCGACTCCCCGCACAGCAGCGCCCCCGAGGGGCGGCGGGCGGTACTGCGTCTCCAGGGCCCTCGGGAAAAGCAGGTCTTGCAGATAGACGTGGCAAGTGTCCAACTAGCCACTTCCCTCTGTAAAGACTTTTCTTCTGTCTCTCTCGGTGCTTTTCAGAGATTATAATGGCCGTACATACTAAGGAGTGGACCCAAGTCTAACCCGGCCTGATTTACAGTTCTTATAGTCTGGAGGCAGGAACTATGCGCTCCAGCACGCTGGGCTAAGTAAGCTCCTACTGCCTGAGGAAGGAAGGAAGGAATGGGTGGGTGTAAGGATGGATAAGTAAGTGAAATTTGATGTCTGCAATGAATATAGCAAGTGGGAGGGAGCTTAACCCCCTCTGCGCCTGTGTGCACTGCAGCTGTGACACCATGGTACACCCGTAGCTGCATGCAAACACTCCTGAAACAGGGGCAAGGAGTGCATAAGCCCAGAACTTCCCAACTCAGGACATGCTTCCATGGAATCCTCTCAGCCTCTTCCCCCTAGGGCTTTGCTCACTGGTGCCTAGTTATTCATAGGCTCACCTCATCTGTTTTGTTTGGTTTTAATTTACATGTGGGTGGTTGTTTTTGCTTGATTTGTACTGCTTTGTTTGGGTAGGGTTTTGTTTATGGCTTTTAGTGTTTTATTGTTGCCATGTAACTCAGGCTGGCCTCAAGATTCTCCTACCTCAGCCTGCTTCACGCTGGGATTACAGAAGTGCACTGCCATGCCCCCTCTGCAGACTCTGCTATGCTGCCCTCCTGGCCCTTGTAGGCATTGGGTCTTTACTCATCCAAGTTCTTGTTATCACATAGAGCTTGCTTGGCTCTGTTCTTTCCTAGCCTGACCTTGGAGGACTACCCCCACCCTTTCTGTCAGCACTTCCTTTGTCCACAATACCAGATCTGAGTTACCAACGGATTACCTGGGTTCTCCTGTCCTCCCAAACCTGACTGAGTTTTGAGAACCATGGCCTCCCACCAATGACGGGGGAGGAGGACTAACAAATACACAAGGTCTCATGAGCTCAGATTAGCCTTGATCTTCTTATGAACATCTAATTCTTCTACCTCCTGAGTGCTGGGATTACAGGGATGTACCATCATATCTGGTACTTAGGGTCAGACACACAGATCTATACATTCTAGACAAGTACTCTACCAACTAAGGGGTATCCCAACCCCCAGTGATCCACTCTTCATCAGTGCTGGACATTGAATCCAGGACCTCATACATGCTAGGCAAGTACTCTGTCACTAAACTGGATCACCTCTCTCTCTCTCTCTCTCTCTCTCTCTCTCTCTCTCTCTCTCTCTCTCTCTCTCTCTCTCTCTCTTCTCCTTCTCCTTCTTCTTCTTTGTCCTCTTCTTCTCATTAAGTTGCACAGGATGACCTGGAATTTGTGATCACAGCCTTTCAAGTACCTGAGACTGTAGGGCTGCCCAACAATGCCCAGCCTCCCACTGTGATTGAGTCCCTTAGATGGGACAGGCATGAAGACTGTTTACTGCCACCTGAGTGACAGCTCTGAATAGTGGTAGATGTGGCCAACATGGGGTGACTATGGTGAGTGCCAAGGAGAGTGTTGAACTCCTAGTGGGCCCTGGCTGAAGGATAGAGGACAGGCTAAGCACAGTGCCAAGGGATCAGGGTGATGGGACAGACTGGTAGCCATGAATTGTGGGTGCTATGGATGGCCTGTCCCAGGGTAATGGGTACTTCCACTTGGGCTACTGGGTAAGGAAGGCTACCTCAGAGGAAGGATAATGTGTCCTGGTATTATTAGGTTACTTTAAGCAGACTCAGTGTACCCAAAGCTAGTAAAAGCCCTGGTGTAGGAACCCCAGAAGCTGCTAAAATGCAAGCCCTGATGTGAACTTGACCTTGGGACCCCATATGGTGAGACAGCTCTGGGTCTTTCTTGGTAGTAGTGCAAATGTCCTCTTTTGCCATAGGACAACCAAAACAACAGAGATGAGGTAGATACTAGGCCCTCTTCCCACCTCAGCCATCCTCTGCAGAGGTGAGAGGGGCCTCCAGGAAAGAGCAGAGCACCTCCTCAACTCTCCCCCTACCTTCCCCTGATATACACCCTAGCACTGAACATCTTAGGGTTGCATCACAGGAAGACACAGGCATTGCCCAAGTTGTGGGCCTGGCCCAGCAACTTCAAACTCTTCAGGGCAGGACATGGAGGTGTGACTTCCTCCTCAGCTCAGAAGCCAAAGAAATCAGACCACTGGGGCCACAGAGGGAGCAGCTCTATTCAAGCCCTCCACCCTCTAGTTGTAGCAGCCCGAGAGTCTTGGAGGGGTGTCTGGGACAGTGGCCCAGATGAGGCTGCACTCCAGCCCTCCCTCACAGCTAGCTCTTGTCCATTGGTGATGGCTGTGGGCCTGGGGTCATAGGGCTCAAGCTGAGTTTCTAGGGTGGAAGGTGAATGTTCATAGCTGTAATCAGGACCATGCAGAACACAAGGGACACAAGTTGGCCTTCCTTGACCAACATCGTGGTGTCACATAGCACAATGCATTATGGAGAAAGATGTAAAACCTGTGTGGACCGCAACGGGCATAGGAGAGATTGTGAAGGTATATCCTGCCTGGAAGGGACACTGAGGCTGTTCCTGTGTCCAGTCTGTTCCAGACTCAGTGTGAGCCCTTTTCCATGCCAATGAGAAATGTTAGCACAATGGTTTCTCCTCCTTGCATGCTTACTGTCATTTTACACATATTTATTCATTTATTTGTTTACTGTGTATGCATATTTATGTGTATGTAGGTTCTTATATGCCACACCATGAACATGGAGGTCAGAGGACAGCTGGCAGAAGCTGGTTTTCTCTTGACACCATGAAAGTCCTGGGTATTGAACTCAGGCCATAGGTTTGATGACAAGTGTCTTTACCTGTTGAACCATCTCAATGCTCCCTAATCCTTAGTACATTACTACAGATTTTTAGGTACTCTACGGTAGTGCATGCCTAACCATGGGGTTCAGTCCACATGACTGCTCACAACAGGAAAGAACCCCAGAATATCTGAACTAGAAGGAATATGAGAGGTCAAAGCAGGTCTGTTATTAACAGGCAAAAAATGTCCAGAGGGGAGATGCCACTTATTTGATGTCACACAGCTCCTTCTCAAGGCTATTGGCCCTGCCCGCTTTGGAAACAATCTTCAAAGCTCCTGTCTCTAAGACCCAGAGCTAAGATCCTAAGAGTCATAACCTCCTCAGGGGCAGTGACACCCTTCTTGGGTCCAGAGATCCTTTCCATCTCTCTACCACTGTACAGGTAACTCCAGGGCCAGATAGCACTGAAAAAAGTTTGCAGCCATGTTGTGTAGATTGCACTTTTCATACCACCTGTTTTCCATTTGTGCTCAGCAATGGCCTGCTCACATCCTCTCATCCAGCTATGTCTACAGTTCTTCTGTCCTCAGTATTTTGCAGGAGCCCCTAATGATTGTTATTTGTCGCTTTTGTATAGCTGAGATCAAAATACCCAAGGAAGGGCTGGGCAGATGGCCCAGGTAGTAAAGTGGTTGCCATACAAGAATGAGGACCCTAATGAGTGCCCATAAGAAGTGGGATGTGGTGGCCTGTACCTGTAATTGCTGTAGAATATTTTAACTAGGCAAAGATGTTACATTTGTTTATGCTGTGGAATGTTACTTTAACTATATAAAGGTGTGTTACTTTTGTTTATGCTGCATTTGTTTAATAATGTAAGGATGTGTATTTAATTAATGTAAAGATATGTTGCATCTGTTTCACCTTGCCTGCCTGCCTGGTCTAATAAAGAGCTGAGTGGCTAATAGCTAGGCAGGAGAAAGGATAGGTGGGGCTGGTAGGAAAAGAGAATAAATAGGAGACACTTAGGCTCAAGGGGAAAAAAAAAGGAGAGAAGAAGAAAGGAGGAGAGAATGAGGGAAATGCCTGGGGCCAGAAATCAGGCAGCTATCAGCCAGCCAGACATAGAGACAGCAATAAAGTAAGAAAAGATAAAAAGCCCCAAAGCAAAAGTAGATAAAGAGAAACAGGGCAAGTTACAAGATCTAGCTAGAAAAGAGCTAAGCTAAGGCTGAGCATTCAAAGCTAATAAAAAATCTCTATGTCATGATTTGGGAGCTGGTTGGTGGCCCAAAAGAAAAAGCCTGGTACATATAATCCCAGCACTGAGGACAAGAGGAGCCTTGGGGCCCTTTGGCTTAATTGATGAGCTTCAGGTTTAATGAGAGACTATGCCTCAAAATAAGGTAGAGGGGTTTGAGCAATGGCTCAATGGTTAAGAGCCCCAGGCATCTATATTTTCAATATCTAAATGCACAAGAAGTAAAGACTGAAAGGTATCTGCTTTGTATTGTTCAAATAACTTATAAATCCATTCTACTTAAGATAATTTGTTGCTGATTATGTATTCCAAGTAAGACTCAAATCACTGCAGATGGTGGTGGTGCATGTCTTTAACCCCAGCACATGGGAGGCAGAAGCAGGAGGACTCTGAGTTCAAGGCCAACTTGATCTATAGAATGAGTTTCAGGATAGCCAGGGCCACACAGAGAAATCCTGTCTTGGAAAACTAACTAACTAAATAAATAAATACTTAGTTGTAGTGCTAAAAAATAATTAAGATGGAGAATTATTGAAGACCTTTCCCCCCACATACAACTTGAACATGCATATGCATGCATGTGTATGCACACGTGTGCATGTGTGCCCACACACACACACACACACACACACCACCTGAGAGAACAACTGAAGGGAGAAATGGTGTACTCTGGCTATTTTAAAGGCTCCTATCCATGGTTGCTTTGTCCCATTTACTCAAGTACACCAAGTAACACCATAGTGATAGGAATATGCAGTGGAGATTCCTCACCTCATAGTGAACAGGAAACAGGTATAATCATCAAGGGCACACCTCCTAGTAACCCACTTTTTTCCAGT